CAGACACGGATGTTGGAGAACACAGATGTGGGGGTGTGGGAAGTGGGCACAGACGGGGCAGACACGGATGTTGGAGAACACAGATGTGGGGGTGTGGGAAGCAGGCACAGACAGGGCAGACACGGATGTTGGAGGACGCGGATGTGAGGGTGTGGGAAGTGGGCACAGACGGGTCAGACACGGATGTTGGAGGACACGGATGTGGGGGTGTGGGATGTAGGCATGGACAGGGGTCAGACACAGATGTTGGAGGACAAAGATGTGGGGGTGTGGGATGTGGGCACAGATGAGGCAGACATGGATGTTGGAGCACACAGAAGTGGGGGTGTGGGATGTGGGCATGGACATGGTGCAGACACGTGTTGGAGGACACAAACGTGGGGGTCTGGGACGTGGGCACGCACATAGATCGGGCTAACCTTGGCTTTGCGCAGCACGTGGCCCCGACAGGGGGAGTTGCCCGTGGCAGGCGGGCGCGCCCTCAGAATGGCGGCGCTGTTGACGGGCGCAGATCCCTCAGTGTCGCTGGTGTCACAGCTGGAGATGGGCGAGTTCTCCAGCATCTGGTGTCGGAACTGCGGAGACTGTGGACAGAGGAAGGGAGTCTGCGTGAGGCAGGGTTCCTTGGCCAGGAGAACGGCTCATTTGAGAGAAGGAATGGGTTCTATGAGGAGCATGCAACAACAATACAAGGAGCACAGGGTTGGTGTCCACCGTGAGAATGGCCGCCAGTGCCCACTCTACAGCCAGGAACATGAGGCCCAGGCCATGGACGATATGCTGGGCACTGTGGGCTCCACACATGCAGAGCGGGTTCTCCAGCCACCTCCCATGCCATGTCATGTTCTGTCTCAACAGCCTTTTCTTGGGCAACGGTCCCAGAGGGCCCCAGCCAGTGAAGCATCAGCTGGAGGGACCCGGTCACCCAGGCATGTTTCCTGGGACAGAAGCCATCCAGGAGCCTTAGAAGGGACCTCAGCTGCCCAGAGGCTGTCCACGGCTCTCTAGGAAAGGCTATCTCCCTTTGTCACTGCTGTGGGCTTGGCACAGATGGCCATTAGGAGACCAACATGGCATCATCATCGGGTGTCGGTCAGCATCTCAGGGATGCGGTGTCTCATTGACCCTGGACCCCTGAGCTGCCGGCTTTTACTTAAATTCCTGTTTTAGTTGGAAATGTCTTTAAAGATGTGGCCAGTAGAGACGGACGGGTGGGCTGTAACTGCTAAAAAAACACAATAATCATAGTGTCCTATGCCCCTTAATCATCAACTCTCCCTTCATCATCTGAATTTCAGAAAATTCCTGGAAAACTGAAACGCAAAGATAATGGATTTTTCCGTGAAGTTTTCAAAGCCCCCTTGTGTATCTATGTCATCATCTGGACAGTGAATAAGGAAGACCATAGAAGAATCCATGCATTTGAGTTATGGTGTTGGAGGAGAATACTGAAAGTACCATGGGCTGTCAAATGAACAAACAAATGTGTGTTGGAAGAAGTGCAGCCAGAGTGCTTCTTGGAGGCCAAGATAGTGAGACTGTCTCCTAAAGTACGTTGCTCTGTTTGCACGTTGTAAGGTTGTTATGAGTCAGAACTAGCTTGATGGCACCAAACAACAGTATATATGAGGGGCTTCAAGACACTAGTGAAAGAAAATTGAATGAAAAAATAATGGAATTTTCCCATGAACTTTCTGAAGTACTCTGGTGTCTACAGCGATGTTAAGTACAATCGAGATGGTTTCAATTCACGGCGACTCTACATAAGATTTCCAAGGAGCGGCTAGAGAGTTTGAACTGCTGACATTGTGGTTCAAACAACCTTGTAATCCAGGACCTACCCAGCCATGCCAGGACTCCCTATAGTTACATGTTGTTATGTTGTTGTTAAGCACCATAGAGTTGGTTCCAATTGACAGTAACTCTGTACAGGGGTCCTGAGGTTTCCGAGGAGCAGATGGTAAGCTTGAACCGCCCATCTTGCAGTTCAAAC